TCTCAAAAAAAGCCAAAACAAACAAAAAAACCAACTCCTGTGTCACTGCCCAGGTTACAGTGTTATACTCTGAGAGTACCCTGAGTTGATGTAATTCTGAATAACGCCTCTTTCCTATATCCCTCAACTAAGACTTCTCATCTCACTGGTTTTGTTTCTCAAAGATTGAGTACTGCTCACTGGATAGACAAAATCATTCTCAAAGTTAGGAGGAAGAAGCAATAACTCACATTTTCCTAATGAAAGGAAAAAAAAAAGGTTACACAAACATGGACTTAGGCATGTACATATCTGTACACACCTGACACGCCCTGTCAAAGGAATGACCCTACTCTATCTAATAAGTAAGCAAAGAGAGACTGACCTTACAATTTAATGGAAACTACATGATAGCAGCACGGAAGAATTGCTGATGATAAAGACCAAGAGGGAGACACGGGTGAGTCCCTGCGATCAGTCATTGCTCAATTGAGGTCCTCGTTACAGCTTTTCAATGAAGTTGCAAAGAGCAGCACGTGTGATGATGTCATCAGAGGCTGTCTGTTCGCAGGCCACACTCTTTCCATATGATTTCCCTTCTCGGGTTTTCACAAACATCTCAGTGACATGAAAAGCAGGAGAGAAGAACAGCTACTATTTCTCTGGGTGTCTGCTTTTATCTTTCACCCTAAATTGATGGAAATTAAAATTGGATCCTTGTTCTGGTTAAGTTCCACAGGTGTGTGGGGTGCAGGAGGGAGATGATTCCAGCCTGGCAATGTTTGATTTTACGCCCCTGCTTGTAGCAGATGGGCCTGCAGAAAAATCCTGTAAAATCGAAATTTGAAAAAAGAAAAGTATTCTGTAGTTTACACGTGAACTCTTCTGAGATTTCAGAGAGTGTTTGCAAAGGAAGAAACTTTTTCTTATACTGGAAGAACATACCATCATGTTTCTCTCGAAAAAAGCCAAAAAAACCAAAAAAAAACAACCCTGCATCACCCCCTAGGTTACAGTGTTACACTCCGAGAGTACCCTGAGTTGATGTAATTCTGAATTATTGCTCAGTTGAGATCCTTGTTACAGCTTTTAAATGAAGTTGCAAAGAGCAGCACGTGTGATGATGTCATCAGAGGCTGTCTGTTCGCAGGCCATGCTCTTTCCATATGATTTCCCTTCTTGGGGTTTCACAAACAACATCTCAGTGACATGAAAAGCAGGAAAGAAGAACAGCTACTATTCCTCTGGGTGTCTGCTTTTATCTTTCACCCTAAATTGATGGAAATTAAAATTGGATCCTTGTTCTGGTTAAGTTCCACAGGTGTGTGGGGTGCAGGAGGGAGATGATTCCAGCCTGGCAATGTTTGATTTTACGCCCCTGCTTGTAGCAGATGGGCCTGCAGAAAAATCCTGTAAAATCGAAATTTGAAAAAAGAAAAGTATTCTGTAGTTTACACGTGAACTCTTCTGAGATTTCAGAGAGTGTTTGCAAAGGAAGAAACTTTTTCTTATACTGGAAGAACATACCACCATGTTTGTCTCAAAAAAAGCCAAAACAAACAAAAAAACCAACTCCTGTGTCACTGCCCAGGTTACAGTGTTATACTCTGAGAGTACCCTGAGTTGATGTAATTCTGAATAACGCCTCTTTCCTATATCCCTCAACTAAGACTTCTCATCTCACTGGTTTTGTTTCTCAAAGATTGAGTACTGCTCACTGGATAGACAAAATCATTCTCAAAGTTAGGAGGAAGAAGCAATAACTCACATTTTCCTAATGAAAGGAAAAAAAAAAGGTTACACAAACATGGACTTAGGCATGTACATATCTGTACACACCTGACACGCCCTGTCTTTGCATGTACAATAACAGGTAGAGCTGAACAGCTGTATTCCCTGTAAATACCTTAGGATGCTGAAGCAAACAGAGTTCTAACATTCTGCCTACATACACTCATGGCTGGGATGATTCATAGTCACATCGTTTCTATATCAAGACTGGTGAACATCCGCGATCACATGGACTTCAGAAAGATACCTGTAACTTTTTCTTATACTGGAAGAACATACCATCATGTTTCTCTCGAAAAAAGCCAAAAAAACCAAAAAAAAACAACCCTGCATCACCCCCTAGGTTACAGTGTTACACTCCGAGAGTACCCTGAGTTGATGTAATTCTGAATAATGCCTCTTTCCTATATCCTTCAACTAAGACTTCTCATCTCACTGGCTTTGTTTCTAAAAGATTGAGTACTGTTCACTGGATAGACAAAATCATTCTCAAAGTTAGGAGGAAGAAGCAATAACTCACATTTTCCTAATGAAAGGAAAAAAAAAAAAGTTCATAGGCATGTACATATCTGTACACACCTGACACGCCCTGTCTTTGCATGTACAATAACAGGTAGAGCTGAACAGCTGTATTCCCTGTAAATACCTTAGGATGCTGAAGCAAACAGAGTTCTAACATTCTGCCTACATACACTCATGGCTGGGATGATTCATAGTCACATCGTTTCTATATCAAGACTGGTGAACATCCGCGATCACATGGACTTCAGAGCAGCACCCAGCACCCGAGTACCCAGGACAAGCCCTTCCCTTTCCCTTCCAGAGAGACGTTCCACTCTCTAGCCAGGCTGCTCCCCTTTTTTCTCACATCTGTTTTTGAAGTGCTGCTCTTATTAGGAGGAAGAAGCAATAACTCACATTTTCCTAATGAAAGGAAAAAAAAAAAAGTTTGATGTCATCAGAGGCTGTCTGTTCGCAGGCCACACTCTTTCCATATGATTGAAGAACCCAAAGCGCCTCCAGGTGCTGAGAATTAATGGAATACTCCTCCTTCCTTTCCTCTAGATGACTGATCAGTAAAAGAACGAAAGAAAGCGGACTATTCATTTCAGATGTTTTATTAGAATAATAAATACAAACTCAAACTAACAATTTTGAAATACGTGGAGGAGACTCTGGTTTTTACTTTATCTAAAGGAAAGGATGATTGCATTGTTTAGTATCTTTCATAAGGATTAGAATTGGCCACTTCTCTTAAGCCAGCCTTTCCAGCTCATCCAGGGACTCCCAAGAGCACAGACCTACTGACTTCGTCCACAGCTACACTGCATGGCAAACGCAATTAAGATAAAACCTGTAGATTTTTAGTTGCTACCTAAGCCAAACAAAGAACCCGAAGTGCCTCCAGGTGCTGAGGATTAATGGAATACTCCTCCTTCCTTTCCTCTAGATGACTGATCAGTAAAAGAACGAAAGAAAGCGGACTATTCATTTCAGATGTTTTATTAGAATAATAAATACAAACTCAAACTAACAATTTTGAAATACGTGAACACAGAGGAGACTCTGGTTTTGACTTTATCTAAAGGAAAGGATGATTGCATTGTTTAGTATCTTTCATAAGGATTAGAATTGGCCACTTTTACCCCCAAAATTAAGCATGGAAATGTTACAAGACTTTGTAATGTCTGGAACTACTGTCTGGTATGGCAGAGCCTGAACCGCTTTGGTCAGAGCTCTAGCTGCTTGTGAATGAGACTGGATACAACCAGCACACTGGTTGGTACTGGGCCCAGTTTGGGCACTTTGGTCAGAGCTCTAGCTGCTTGTGAACGCAGAAATGAGACTGGATACAACCATCACACTGGTTGGTACTGGGCCCAGTTTGGGCCTCAAGTTATTACCTCAGGCAATAACACAATATATCATACACATGTTGAAGGCCTGGTTTTGATTCATCTTTCTCTCAAATATGTTCTTATCTTGCTTATACTTAGAAACTCTAAACGGTGTACGTGTCAAGAAACCTACACAAGATGGATGTTCAAAGCCAAGAGACCAAACCAAATCTCTGCAGGCATTTTTATACCTTCAAGAAAAAAAATTAGGTTTCTGGCCAATTTAAGGACAATTATTTCCATTCTCCCAACAGATATCAGAAACCTATGCAACACGTTAAAAGATAATCTCGGTGACACATTGTTAACCAATGAAAATTCTTTGTCACAAATCCACTTACTGCACCAGTTTCCAAAGAAGTCAAAAGAAATTATATTCTACAAATCTCATTTAGTTGCTACCCTCCAGTGCCAGTGTTGTTTAGAAGCACTGCAATGACATTGTTGTTTGCTGTGACATAAGAAGCTCCCAGTTCACCATACGTTAATCCAGTGACTATCGTTTTACCATGCTTCTAAGTCAGCAATACACTAAGGCCTCTGGGTGTTACCATAAAACATGTAATAAGAAAGAAAAAACACATTGATTTCTGTTTCACTACAAAACATCTATGATTTGGTCATCAGAACTCAAAGAGATTTGAGGCAGATGGTCACAGAAGTTTGAGTATCTATGATTATTATTATAAACTGCAGGACCTTGGGGACAGCAGGAACTGCCCTTTTCTTCTGTGCAGCACCTACAAACTGTATTTGGCCAAAGGAACCCAAGCAGGACCTACAAACTGTGAAGAAGGAGCAACAGTTGTGCTCATTAGATATTCCACCCATTTAGAGAAAAATAAAGAAACAAACAAAACCCCAACCCACTATGTACAAGAAGCAGAAATACAATCATTAATGAGGTAGAATTCAAATACTAGAAATAAATGGGCGTTTGCTGTCATTGCTTCTATTTATGTAGAATTAAAGCAGGTTTCTACATGAAGTCACAAGGATATGCCTACTCAATGTATATTTTTACACGCTTTTGCATAGTTTCTTCCTGCTGTATGAATGCATACTTTTAATCTCACTTCTCCTTAAGCGAGCCCTCCCTAAAAATTACAAAGATGCCATTTTGGCATAAAGCTGCACAAAATGACCCCAACTCGAACTGCTTATTCAATACTGCTTCATTTTGTCACTTTCCCTGGGAAGGGTGCACAGGTCAATGACCCCGAAACCCGCTAGTTTGACCCTGCTGAAACTGACATAACCCATTCTAAGGGGGCCAAATTTTCACCCAGGTTCGGCAAAACAGCAGCCGGAAGGAAAATAAAATGAATTAACCTGATAAAAAACTGCGGCCAGCAGTCAGGCTGGTGGCGATCCCCGGCCAGAGGATCCCAGCCGCAGGCCCCAGGGCCGGATCCGCGCGGCCTTGCGGGCTGCTCTGAGGGGAGACCGGCCCTCGGGCGGCGCCTGGGCCTGCACGGCCGAGCCTGCGGGCCAGGAGGCTGCTGTACAGCCCGGCAGAGGCCGAGAGAGGGAAGGAGAAGGGGATCGGGGAAGATGGAAGGGGCCGGAGAAGCGGGAAGGGCCGCCCGGGCCCGCCCGTCCCCTCAGCCCGCCGCCCGCCCGCGCACGCGCGGCAGCTCCGCGCGCCTTCCTCC